TGTCCCGTCCCTCCAACAGATATCAGGATGACAGAGACACCCTTTGGTCTCATTCTAACCATTGATTGTTTTAGTATGCATTTGTTTTAAACCACTTTCAAGGCTGGTCAACACAAGTTTATTGTTCTGAGCAGCTATACTGCTTTACCTCTGGTTTCACTAAAGTAGATTTGCATTCTAGGCTCACAGCAGCCAGAAGCAATTCAGATCTAGCCCAGTCAACCAGAAAGAATAATTTAGCTGCCACTGTATGCCAGAGAGTAAGACATCATTCTCCACTCTCACAGCCCTGTGAGGTACAAAAAACACAGTGGAAAAAGAGTAAGCAAGAAAAATGACACAGAGGAGTCCTCTCTCACTTTGCAGATGTTCTACATCATCCATGTCTGTTTGTTTGGGGCTTTTTTATATCACATTATTAAGCTAAATCTTAACAGACTTACCAAATTACCATTTAATCTTTTTCATGTTCTTCTCTGAAACTTCTCTATTTATCAACAGTTGCACAGAGCTTGAGTCCAGATTTGACCATAATATTCTAGATGCACATGTAATACTAGAACATCTCTTTTCTAACTCATGTTCTTGTTTCTGTATCTGTGGCTGATGTGTAGTTTGCCCACAGTGGAAACCTACTACCCACTGTGATGCCTACATCAGTTTCAAAATCATTGCCTTCCTAGAACAATTCTCTAAATATGCCCTGCACTTCCGTTTCTAAAAACTCTTCTTTGGTTTTGGCTGGAATAAAAAGCATACCTTTTGTTTAAACTGTTTGCCAAGCAATCCTTATCAATAGGTTATTTCTGATCAGTTGTATTTTTATTTATAAATCCTTAAATCCTTGTGGTGTCTGCAAACTTTTTTCAATCAAATGTTAAATAGCATAGAGACAATAACAGTTTCTGCAGAACTGTATGTGGTAAGAATTATATTTTGAAATACATCAGTTATCCCATTTTTAATCTATTTAATGAGGATAAGTACAATTACATTCATCCTACTTTTAATTAAGGTGCTACATAGTAACAAGTCAAACTTCTGCCAACCATATATTCTATCAGCACTACCACCTTTTCAGCCAAGACAATTTTCAATCTTGTAAAAAAGGCTTGAAGTCAATTTCACAAAATAAGTAAAAGGTTGACATTCAGTACTTTAGTCCCTCAATGCTTTATTAATCAAGTTATGCCTGTAGTAGTGTACCCTTTTACTTTGCTGATCAATATCAAACTCACAGGCTTTTAATTATTCAGATTCTCTCTTTTCATCTAAAACCATTAATTTTCATTTTGTCTTCTTGAGTATCTAGTGCTCCAAGATTTTCTGAACGTTGTTGCTGCAATCCAGAATATCAATAGGCCAAATACTAAAACTCAACACAAATACCTTATTATCAAAGAATATGAAACCATCATCTGCTTATTTGGCAAAGGCAGAATAGTCTTAGTTAATAAACATTTTTCTACTTTTCTGTATAACAAACAATCTACTATGTCTATTTAGCAAAGCCTCAAAACCATCAGACCAGGGGTGGTTTGTTTATTTTCCTGTGTGCCCTCCTCTGTCAATTGTCAGAACCACCTAGAAAGTTCTCCAAGGTTATTCACACTTAATACTTCAAACTGATCTAGCTTAATGAACATTTCAGCTTTACAAAACTGTACATTAAGTACAAAACATAACTCTCTACCAAACAAATACGATAAAGTTAATGATCATGCATACACAAAATGAAATGCACTTTAATGAAGTATTTCCCTCTGTTATACTAAGGTATCATACAGATCTCCTTCGTGTGGTGTATTTTTGTAGGATTAGATGATGACCTGTTGTTTTTGGAAACGGTGAGGATTTTTTGCACTATCGGCATTAAGTCTTAAATGCGTATCAGACCTTTAAAAATGTTTTTACAATGCAGTTTTCATCTGCATTATACACACACATGTATCTTAGACTTCAATTACATTGCGTAACATGTCTTTACACTTTATTAAAGAGGATATTGCCCAGAACTTTTAAGGTCATTTGTTTCAAAGGTATCAAGTGCAGAGAAACTGATAATGTGGTGTTGATAATGTCATTCTGTTTCCTTTTTTTTTTTGCCATCCTGATCCTAACTATAAGTAATTATATAATAACTAAATTTATAATATAACTTATAAATATTTATAACACTGAAGTAATTTCAGCGTTCCTGCCTGCTTGTTGTCACTACAAAGAATGATTTCAGTTTTGTCATTTTCTTCCAGAAAGTAAACTATCTCTTGCTTTAGCACTAACCATAAATGACTTTGAAATGGTACTTTTATTCATGCACTCTAAGTAGAGAAAGCTCAGATAAATAATTAGAGTTAATTCAAGCAAACAGCACGTATGGACACAAAAGTAACTTTTTCCCACAGCTTTGAGCCATTTAATGTTATATATAGGTTGTGCACCTAATAAACTGAATTCTTACAAATATCAGATCTGTCGAGGTCCACACAGAATGAAACCAGTTTGTAATACTTGCACTTCAGAAACTGCTCTCCACAGTTCTCAACTGAGCAATGATTATTTAAGTTCTCATTTATCGGGATAGAATATCTTTTTCCCTTGTGCTGAAAAAGTAAGACTGGGGCCACTGGCAGCACATCAGTTCTTGGCATATGAAATATAACTTGTTTCAGCATTGAAAAGCCTTATAGGAAAAAGAAAAAAAAAAAAAAAACAACAATATAATACAAATTACTTTATTCTGAAAGCAAAGGAAAGACAATTCTGCTTCTGAAAGGTCATTAGGAACAAAGAGCAATAGCTCCTAACCATTCTGTAGGCAAGCATCACCTGAGAAAATTGGCAGCCTTCTGCATTTCATCAAACTTAAGACTGAGTATGAGTATTGCCTTCTTTAATGGTACTGCTCCAAGTCACCTGCCAAACACTCCGGTATGGAGTGACCAATATCAGGGCGCTATTCAAGAAGAAAGCAGCTATCTTTCTCTGTAGCCTCTGATATGAGTATTTGCCGCAGAAACAATTTAATATTTTACAGACTTTATCATTTTTATGTCTTTGACCGTTTTCACAAGCCATAGAAGACACCAATGACTTTTAGCTACAAAATAAGACAAGGAATAGGATGTGAGAAGGTATAGATACTTTAAAGACATGGCACCAGCATCTTTGTGTATAATATAAATAGTATATTCACTGCTCTGCACCACCTGTAGCGCAGTATCTGCAACAAAACAGGTGCTGTTGCTACTAACGGCATTAGGATTTCATTTCACCAGAGTGACAGTGGCCCTAACATTTCAACAATTCTCTTTTAGAAATGTGCACAAGCTCAAGTCTGAAGTATAACTGGGCACTGGTTACTAGTGCTGCTCTTCAAGGGCTGATAGTAGGGACAATACTGTCCAATATCTTTATTAAGAACCTGGGAAAGGGGAAATAACCTCAGCAAACTAGTAGAGGACAACGAACAGGGAAGTTTTGAATATGCTCAAGGGTCCAATACTCATTTAGAGGTATTCTGAAATGCTGGAGAAAGGGGTTGACAGAAACCTTATCTAACCAACCTGACCCCAACTTCAGCAAGGTGTTGGACCAGATGACATAATTTTTTCCAGTATTAATTAGTCTGTCATTCTGGGTCAATCTTTTTTTTTTTCATCTAAGAGTAGATACATTTCATCTAAGAGTAGATACTACAGATAGTAAAGAACTAAATAAACAACAAAGAACTAAACTAACATTATGGGTATATTTTTTACCCCTCATGTAAGCAGCATGCTTTACAATGAGCACAATGAAGCCATCCAAAAAGTGATATAAGGCAAATATGTATGGCATAATCTGTCCCTTAGACAACTGAATAGGAAAACAGACAATACACTGTTTCAGAAAGACTATGTCCCCAGAAAGATACGAAAAGAAGCTGCTGTATGCAACCAACCCATAAGTAAATTTTGCTGTTACATTGTACAGGAAATTTGCACTGCAGATTCAGGAAATTACCCTTCTGTGTAAGATTTACTGTCATATTATTAGAAATCATGTCCCATTGGAGGAAATTTACTGTCAAAGAGTGATTTGAGCTGCTTCCAGATCCTTCAATGTGGTAGAGAATAATATTTTATAAAAAAGTAAACACTTAAAAAATTGCATGACACAACAGCAGGAAAAAGCTACTGGAAGAGTAATGAGCTACAAGAAAGAATAATGTCCTACCTTCCAAACAATGAAATGGGATACTTTCAAGCAGCAGGGACCTATCCTTTAGCACCTGAATACACACCTGCTTTGTCAGTCAACAGGAACCTATAGATTATCAGACAAGGTGAATGATGTTTAAAAACATTTTAAAAGATTGTTTGAAGAGGCCTTAAAGATTACAGTATTACTGAAGGTAATGAACTGCTCTAAAAATCAAACTGTCATTAGCCAGGTATTTGGCATCAGAGAAAAAGTGATGTTCTAATAGCAGAAGTGAAGGAAAATAGACAAAAGATGTGGTATTTCTGTATCTTCTGCAGAGAAGGAGAAAGGAAAAAGCTTATCCCATAAAAGAATGTTCTTAGTTTTAGAAACTATGGATTTATGGTTTTACAGATTTACAAGTTACTCACAATTACCTAGTTGGTTTTCTGACTTCCAGCTAAATACTGTTCTCATTGATTATCTCAGGTAACATCTGCCCAAGCCTGTCTACAACAACGAGCTCTAAAAAAACCCTCATGATAATCCAAAAACAATTCTGAAATTTAGAAAAGAAAGCCTATTGCAATTGAAAACACATCTGAATTTTTATGGTAACATACAAGTTTTATTAATTTTAAAAGATATATAAAACATAGAGGTTATTATTGCCTTTACCTTCCAGAGCTCAGCTGTTCCTTCAACAAGTTTGGCATTTGTTTTACAGTATTTCAGAGCCAGATGCAAACATTCAGTTCCATAATCCAGGTCATAGTCTGTACACTGTAGTAATTAAAAAAGAGCAAATATTCTTAATTAGTCTTAAAGAAATCATACTTTTCAGCAACCACAGATTTTCTTTCATTAATTAAATCTTACATCTCCACAGTCCTGTCCAGAATAATACATGCAGTATTAGGTAGGCACGTTCAGGATGGATGAGAAATAAAAACCTCCCAAGAAGCTTATGCCAAATTCTACCTATCCAGCAAAGTGTTACAGAAGAAAGTCAACACTTTATAACCACAAATGAATTTGATTAGGTGCTACAAGTATCTTGCTAAACTTCTATGTTATTAACTATATCAATAAGAAGTTACATGTATAAAAGTTCCGTGGAGTTGAGGCCTCACCAAAAGAAATCACCAACCTTCTAGTGACAAACTTTTAGAGTACGGGAACAGGTTAAGATACTGTAGAAGCATGACTCCAAATGCCTTGGCTGGTTTGTTTTTTTGTAGTATCTAAAAAGAATGGTAGCAAATAAGAACCTCTGTATTTCTTATATGTTTCCCTCTACAAAAAAGCAAAGTTCGATGCTGCTCCATGAGCCTTGCAGATTAAACAACAACTATTCTTCTCTCAACATGCCCTTCCCAAGCAGTTTAGCTTCCTACAGTTAAGTGATTATAAGAATCCTATTTAATGGAAAACTGAGTAGGGAACAGAATCTCTCAAGCCAAAACATAGGTAGGTACAAAAGCAGGAACTTGGAGCTTATTGGACAGGATTACCTTAAGATGAATTGGCTCAATTAAGGTAAGAAAGTTCTAGTCTCTTTTCATACTGCTGAATTACCAGTCTATCCAGAAACATCAGTAACATGTAAAAGGAAGGAGAACTTAAGGTCTTTCATAAAACTGGATTAATGTGATAAAAGCACAGGCTAACTAGCCCAGTATCCAGTCTCTAATAGAAGCTAAGAGTGAATAGTCAAGAGTAAGTAAATAAGAACAAGGCACACATATCTTCTTACATTCCCAGACTACTTGCTTGGCTTCATATGAAGCTATTATTCTGGCTTAGGAAATACCTAAATTACGAAGTCCCTGAGGGACACACTGAACTAGAAGCAACTTCCTTAACGGTCCTCAGTGAAATACAGGAATCCTGAATCCACTCATATACATTTTGAATAGCGGCATTTTTTTAGCACCTTCTCAGCCCTTCAATATGCTCCACTATGTCTCTTACATCCTTCCCCAGTTAAAGAGATCAACATCTATTCAGTCATTTCATGTGTGGAAGCTACTTCAAAACTCCAATCATCAACCCTTTTGCCCTCCTTTACATTTATCTACACTTACTTATCAATTTATCCTAACATCCTTCTGCAAATCTTCTTAGTTAGCCCTCATGCCTACCACCCAGAAAAAAATAGAAAAATGGGTATCTCCACTTCATGTTCGAAATTATCTATAAGCAAAATGAACTGCACAGGTCCCAGCACAGATATTCACAAAACTCCACTGGGATTTACTGCTATGAAAACTGGTCATGCACTTTACCTTGTGTTGTTTATTTTCCTTCACTTACACAGCCCGCTTAGAAAAGTAATTTAAGTGTTACACTTCTCTTCAGAAGTTTTTAAGCATTTTGAGTAACAAAACAAAACAGATGCAAGAAAGTGCTAACATGGAAGATTTCTTTCAGAATACTAAAGAAAACAGAGGGTTCAAAAAGACACTTTGGAATATTTTTAAATTGAGCAGATAATATTTATATTTCTTTAAATAATCAAGATACCAGAAAGGTCAATAGAAAATATAAAGGAATAGGGAACTCTAGCTCCAAAATATATAAAATTGAATGATCTCTTGAGTTAAGAGGTCCAGAGACAAATTGCCAATGAAACTAGGAATGGTCTAGTAACTTTCAATTACAAACATTTATTATATTTCCGTTTGTATTTTGTTTTGGTTTTAAGGAAGATTTTCTGCTAGAACACAAACTATTTTCTACTAAAGTGAATAATACAGACATTAAAAAAAAAAAAAAAATGTATTTTTATTTTGCCTCAAAATGGAAGAGAAAATTTCAGTAAAACTTATCTGTGAAAGAATTTACTTTGAATTAAAATTAAGCTACATTTTTAAATATATGGGTAAGGAATTATACTAGGGCAAGACTATGCAATTCCATCTTTTTAGAAGGTATTAATTACAGATAATTAGTAGGGAGTGGAGAAGTTCCATAAATGGGCTAAAGCATCTTGAGGGTATTGCTGGCTTCAAGGGATGAAATACGACACAAAGCAAAGTAATAATTAAAAACATATTTCACCAACACTTGTACATCATGACATTTACCACTCTAATTGTTTAAACCTAAACACATTGCCACAGTGTACTTTTCTGCAAGTCTGATACAGTGATGTCAGAGGAGAACAATGAAATGGAAGCATCAGCTCAAGACTAGGTTAGTTTATGTATTATTCATACACTAAATCGTTCCAGAAGTGAAATTTTAAATCCATATTTAAGGTACAGGATTTGAAAGCTTCTGTATTGCACTAAGAAACTCAGCTAACAAATTAAGCATTATCAGGGAGTGCTCATAATGAAAAGTTGTGGAATATCTATGAGGAAAACTATTAGTCAGCCAAGCATGCAAACGTTCTCATCTTAAGCCTGCTGTATGTATTTCATTGTACATCTAGAGCCAATTTACACTACAACAATCTGTTCAAAACTCTTTTTCTAAAGTCTCTTTTTAACTGAAAGGCTTTTTAACATAAAGTTTCACAGAGTACAGTTAACTGAACTTGACATGCACACATAGCTTTGTGAAACAATAGACACAGTTTAAGTTTCAGACCACAGATTTGAAATGGTAGAAACAGCTGGAAATATTGGCACAAAACACATCCACAAAAGAAAGCAAGCAGATTAGTTTAGCTTTATAAATGACAGAGAAAGAAATATGCCATTTAAAAATGCTTTTGAACTGTTGAATATTCAAAGGAGTTCTACTAGGTAGTTTTGGGGACTGATTTTTGTGAGTGATTCTTGTTTGTTTTCCAAGAGTGGATGTTTGAATAAAGTGCTATGGGTGGAGCAAGATCCAGATTTTAGCATGCCAATTCTTCTCTCCCTGCCCCCTAGATTAGTTTGTAAATATTTTGATAAATAATATTAATTCCTAAAATGCAAACTATACTGTTGTTATTTAGCCATAAGCATGGAACAAGGGTTTACAGAAAAGAGCAGCTACGCAGCCTCTATCTCCCTGGTACTTACTAATTGTCTATAAATTAACTTGTTTCCAGTACAATACTTTGAACAAGTAGAATTATAAAGAAGGAATATTTAACATTAATAATTGCTATTACTGTTAACATGCGCCATTTTACTGTATCTTTATATTGATAAAAGATTTTGAATGTATAAATGGGAACTGGTAACCATACAGTAAAACAAAGACAGAAGCAAGAAAAATTTTAATTGCAACACTGATGTTTTCTTGTTTTTTCATCATTCCTTAGTTTCATAATAAGGAAACAAAAATCAATATTCTTTATGTATTAACTGAAAGAAAATCTTCAGATCTTTTCCTTTAAACGGGTACCCTTAAAGTTTGTGTAAAGTCAGTCTTCCACACTTCTGTAACCATTGGCTATGTCATCTTCAGTACTTTTTCCAGTGTCAGGAGTGTCTCCATTTTACTCTCCCATGTGAATCCATTCTATAACAATATCAGAACACTTGTAATTAAAATGCATAACTAATCAACAATAGCAGAGCTTTATGACTTTTCCAGATCCTTACAAATCAAGTTTCCACTGCTGAACTGCCAGGGCACATGATGAACAGCCATCACCAGTAACATTTCACTAAGTTAAAAAAGCAGCAGCCACGAGCTCTTGCTGAACCTCAAATGGCCTATTTTTATCGTATTTTAAAAAGATTTAAATCTTTTTGCCATGTTCATTACCATGGAAACTAAAAAACGCTGAATCCAACAGTGGATATGCAGCAAGCACTCAGCCTACAGCAATACACCACAGCTAAATGAGAAGTTAACAGAAGCAAAAACCAGAAGGAGGAAACACGTGAACAATGAAACAGCAAGATTAATGTGAGTTCAGATAAGCTCATCTCTAAAACAATTTCTACTGTAGTTAATTATTACAACTGCTGTGACATATATCCAAATGTTGTAGTGGTCCACAGTGAAGAGAATAAAGATACAGCAATTTACTCTGTAATGGAATTAAGCAGTCCATACTGCCATCACCTGCAACCATGTTCTATACATCTCTGCAGGCATACAAGCTCCCAGGCCAAGTCAGCTATGAATTTTCATTGTACTAGTCTTCTTTGAAAGCAGTTCATAAACTCTCTTTATGCTGAGGCTGACAACTGCTGTTCACTGTGCACAACCTGCTGTCAGGCAGTAAGAGTCCCATAGGCAAGAATGTAGAGCACAAACACACTGTGTGAGCAACATGAAACTTGCTTTCCCTATCACTATTTCAAGTTTTAGCTACTAGCCAAGGTTGAGGATAACTCTGCCTTTTGCTCTCTTTTTTTCTTTTTCCTTTTTCTTTAAAACATAAATTTGCTTGAAAAAATTATTGTCACAAAACGCAAAAGCTGAAACTCAGTAGGATTCAGAAATGCGTATGGACGCAGAGAACAAATGTTTGTATCAAAGTTTGCACTTCTGAACATAAGTTAAACAAAACCATTGTGTAAGATCCAGCAACAAATTTTTAACGTAGATGTTTCTGTCCATTTTTGACAGGTTACTTCATCTTTCTTCTAAGGAACAAATCACGCATGATTCTGTGACCAGAAGTCAGGATCTCAACTAATGAACTATATTAAAAAGACATTGTTTTCAGTGTTCCATTCTATCAAAACCACTAAGAAAAACTGTCATTCACTTTTAGATTCATGAAGGAATCAATACAACAAAAACACAGAAATAAGCTAACTGGACAGTTAGAAAAGATAGCCACTTCATTGATTGTCATTTTCTAGCTCTGACCTCAAAATGAA